CGAGAAGAATCCGTAGTGAAGTATGTCAACTAACCGGTGCGAATGTCTCAGTGAAATCGCGTCCGTGCTCTTGGTCGAAGCCACGTACGACCCAGCGTGCTTTGAACTTGTCGATGGTGCCATCTGCTTTCGTCTTCACACGGAAGACCCACTTCCCGGTGAGTATCGTCTTGTTTTGTGCCACGCCGATAGGAACAACCTTCCAGGTGTTGCGCTCCTGTAGTGCTTTCAGTTCCTTGTCCATGGCTTCACGCCATTTTTCCCTATGCTCCCCCCCCAGAGCCTGCTGAACTGTGGCAGGCTCCTTAGGAGTATCCGTGCCGTGGACCGCGGTGACGAGACCAAGTATCTGAAGGCCACTCTGTGTGTAGCGGGGGAGTGTTGTGTCCGCGGGATAGGCTGCTTCGTCACCTGCTTCTGGGTCAGGTATGAAATTGGGCCCTATGCGTTCTGCTTCGTTGGTGTTAACTTCTGCAGGTGTAACGTAACCAGTGTCGGCGAGGTCGAAATAAGTTTCGGCGTTGACGCTTTCGCGAGGATTTTCGTCGTCCATCGGGATAGGCACGGAGCAGTAAGGGAGTGGTCCTGCTTCGTCGGAGGCGTTATCCACATTCTGCTCGTCCCAGTCAGCTTCGTCTGCTGCCGAGGCGAAGTGTCGGTCACCACGGAAGCCACCTGTGGGATCCCGATCTTCGTCTAGGTTGGCAAGGTATGTCGGAAGGGTGAGTCGTTCGTAGAAAATGACGTCACGTGCTGAAACTGTTTCTTTGGAGTGGACGTCGAAAATCTTCCACGCGTTGTAATTTCTTTCGATGCCCAGGTGTAATCCCCACTGTGCTCGTTGGGAAAATCGGCCGGCTCGTGCAGATGGGGGTCGGTACTGTACCATGCAGCCGAAAACTCTTAACATTTTTGTGCTGCCCTGTTTTCCTGTCCACAGCAGATGCGGTGATGCGTTGTTGGGTAGTGACGACGACGAAAGCAAGTTGTGCAGCATGACAGCGTGGTCCATCGCTTCAGGCCACTGGTGATTGGGCAGTCGCATGCCACGCAGTAATTTGCGCATGGTGTTCTGGAGAGTTCGATTCATCCGTTCCGCCACGCCTTGCTGTTGATGGGCGTAAGGAAGCGAGATGAGTCTCTTGATTCCTCTGTGAGGTGTATTCTCCTCCTCCGTCTGACTGAAAGCTTTTCAGTTTCTCGCCCGATTCTCGTTCTGCTACTGGGAGCCAAGCGATGAAGGCTTCGAAGGCCATGTCCTTGCTCGGAAGATTAAGGTGCCAGACATAACGCGTAGCTGCATCGATGAACGTGATGGTATAACTGTATGCTCCTTGTCCGGGTTCGCGATTGTACAGGATGTCGCTGTACACCTTTTCAAGTGGTGCATAAGCTGGTGCGCTGGGGTTGTGGTGAGAAGTGAAGGGTCGATGCGGTAAGTCAGCTTCGGGGCAGGTAAAACACGTTCCTCGTGCTCGTCGAAGTTCACTTCCGTCCGTTAGGAGTAGTGAATCCTTTTCGAGTACGCCTGCTTGGATTGTATTGTTTAACACCGTGTTGCTTGGGTGTCCCATTCGTGCGTGCCAGATGTCTTCGCTGGCGCGATGTCCGGGTGAGCGACGATACAGGTCGGAGTTGGAGTAAAAGGCGGCGGTGAAGTTGGCGCTTCTGTGAATTTCGCGAGGAGTGGGAGTTAGCTGCTGCGCGGGAGTCGGTGAAGTATTGTCAATGTGTGGCGATGTCGTTGAAGAACTTGCAACTGGTGTTGTAAGTGTTGTTGGTGTTGCCAATGTTATTGCTGTTGCCGATGTTGTTTCTGCTGCTGCCGATGTTGTTTCTGCTGCAACCGAGTGTTGAATCGTTGCTAATGCTCTTGTTCGTTCTGCCTCAGGGATGGTGTGCGAGTACCAGAAGCCTTATGGACTGAAGTCGGGGTCAAGATCCGGTGGATGTGTCCAAGAGGTGAAGGTGACAATCCCGTCGCTGTCAGCAGTGCCGAGATCTGGAACAAAGTCGAGGACGAAGACATTGTTTTTTAGGACCGCTTTGCCGATGTAGAGTCCTCCTCGACCGTGGAAGAGTTTGAACTCCTGTGTGGTGCTGTCTGCCTCGAGGTGTATGCCCTTCGCCATCAGCTGACTGACACTCAGTAGGTTGTAACCGAGTCCTTGTGCTATCAAAACCTTTGACATCTGCAGTATGACGTTTGTTTCTCGTGACTGAAGTTGCACTACGCCTTGTCGTCGTGTGCGCAGGTTCTGATTGTTGGCGACGGTGATGACAACTTCGCGTTGAAGTTGGTGTTCACGTTGAACAAAACGTCCTGAGGAACACATGTGCTGTCCACAGCAGCTGTCCAAGAACCACGTATCTTTCCCGGACGGCTCGCTTTGAGCGATAGCTGCATACGTCGGATTTGGTTGAAGTGACTCGCGGCGAGGCGTGCTGTTGTCGAGTTGCTCTTCCGGTGAGTAATATGGTGGTGATTCTGTGATACAGGAGTCGGTCAGTCGTGTCATGCAACTGACGATGTTTCTTGTTCCTTGCGCAGGTTGTCCCGTCGATGTCGTTGAGGCTTGTACTTGAGAGGTCGGATTCGCTTGCGTTGAGGCAACTTAACTGCTTGAAGGTCGAAGCTGCCGCTGCGTTGGTACTGATTGTTGTCGGTTAGGGCAGTGTGAGCGAGGATGTCCTGACATCTTGCAAAGGTGACAGAACGGAGGTACTGGTTTTGGTTGATGCCGATTGTTGTTGTTGTAGCGTCGTTGAGTGTGAAATGCAAATTCGGGCACTGATGCCTTCTTCTTGTATCGTTCCTCTTGCAGGTCCATATCTTGCTGCTCAGCATGGATTTCGGCGCAGAGTGCTGCTTCTGATATCTTTCCATGCGCTCGGAGTATGGCGCGGGTGGAGCGCCACTGAGGACCGAGGCCGCCGATAATGACTGTGACGAAGGCGTCTTCTGAAATCGACCCTCCGCATCGAAGAAGTTTGTCGCGCAATTCGCGACAACGGCTAATATACGCCATCCCTTTTTCGCCTGGTTTCATTTCGACTGTTGTCAGTTGCGCCATTAACCGACTTTGGTTTACGCTGTCCGTTGCTTGATACAGGTTCTTCAAGTGGTTGTACGCGAGCTCTGCAGAATTGCCGTAACCCCGGTAAGACCGTATGTTCTGCTGTTGACTTGGAGTGATATTTCTCAGCAGTATTGTGTACGCCATCATTGACTGATACGTGTATTGCTGCTTGTCGTACTGTGTGCCGTGTGTTGGATATGGCAGGGACCCGTCGAAGAAGCCAAGAATCTGCGCGCCTTCCATCATTAACTCGAACTCGAATGACCAGGTAAAGAAATCCTTTCCGTCGAAAGGCCTTGTCGTCTGCAGTTTTAAGACGTGCGCGAACTGCGACTGAACTTGAAGTGCATCCAGCGTCTTTTCTTGTCCGGATGCAGGCTGCGGGTGTGGCATAAGGCTGACGGAGCCACGCTGGGGCTCGTACGGAGCAAAGGTAGGCCGTTGCTGTTGATTTCCTCGTGCGTAGGATGAACCGTCTAGGCTCATTGGTGTTGCGTTGTTGTTGTTGCTGTTGTTTGACTGTGCAGGTGCCCCTTGCTGGTGCTGTTCGTAGAAGGACATGAAGGAGAAGAACTTCTCCATCATGTCTGGATCGAAGGCCGCAGCTTGATTTGCGGGAGTTTCCGAAGACGATGCCCTTGGTCTTGTTGCCGTACCCTCCTCTGTCTGTAGGCCAGAGGCAGGAGGTGGAGTAGGAGTAGTGCCAGGAGAGCCGTTAGAGGAGCTTCTCTCCTTTTGCGTTGCCATGTCTCGCGATGTTGTAGATATCTTGTTTGTAGTCGATTTTGCCCTGACTGCTCTCATACCATGTTGGGCTGAGAAGGCCCTTAGGATCTTTGCAGGACAGAATTCAAGAGTAGGATGATGTAGTAGCGGAAGCGTTTTAATAAAAGGATTGAACCACCTTGCGCTTGTATGTGAGAGCAAAGTAAGTTGATTAAACAAAAGAGATACAAGCTTTTATGAGAATACAGAGAATATGAAGGGATACGGTTTACTAACTGTTTTACTGTTGCTGTTGCGGTTCGATACAGTGTCGACTCGGGCAACTGCTCAGTATCGAGACAGTTGTTTGTCCTTGCTGTCGCGCTGCATTTGTCAGGTCAAAGGTCGCTGACCTTTGACTTTCGCGTAACCTCCAACAGTTATTCAACCTCCGAGGGTTGACTCACCGATGTTTCGATACGATCTGCTTCGCTTCTGTCTTGGTATTTCGACACGACAGAGGCGCTTAAATCAGTTGTTTCCAACAAAATCTAGTACTTGTGCTTGCTAGTCAATCATTCCTGCATAGTTGATTATGAGAGCAATGCGAAGGATTCCCTAGTCGCCCTCACACCATGTTGCGATCAGAAGTTGATCGTCCCTAGGATCACCTCAGGAAGGTTCGCACACGTCTGAGTAGTGGTGGTGGGCCCTTGACCTCAATAGCAGAGAGGATGTAAACTGCTTGAGATAATAAAAACATGCAAGTACAGGAATATAAATAAGAGTACAAGGGAATTCGAATCGACCTAGGCTAGCTATGTACCATAAAGGGTACATTCCCTTATTGCAGCGAAACTCAACCGTGCGAATCCAAACGGTTACAAACTGCTTGGGCAGAATCCTCGCCACTGCTGCTGCCTGATGTTGTCTGTCCGACGGTCCAGATCCTTTCGTAACCGTACGACCCTTCGCGTTACTTCTGCCTTTTCGTCTTCAGCCTTGGTAGTGCGTGCCTCCATTGCTGCGGTAAGGAGTGCACAGTAATGTTTCGTTAATCACTATTCGTAACAGTAAGCAAGCCAGCAGGTGATCCTCTGCCGCCCTGCTTCACCACGGACCTTTCTGCCTGCTGGTGCGATGGCCTGCAGGCCTGCTGGCCTGCTGGCCTGCTGACAGCAATATGAACAAGTGGAAACTCCGCCATGCATACTCTCACGAAGCCGAGCACGCAAGGCAGCAGTTGGGGTAGTTGTTCTTTCCAGGGGTGCAGCCCAAGGGGCAGGGGTAACGCGGCCGGCATACGAAGGCTGCGGCACCAGAGCGTGCCGCGTCAGTCCTCCCAGAGCACACCAGCCCACTGCACTCTTCTGCCGCACCTTGCGCCAGCAGCAACCGCCGTGCCACCGGGCTCGGGGTAACAACGGCAGCAGAACCAGACGAGGAAGTGGAAGCAGCAGAGGAAGCGGAGGCTGTTGCGTTGGCCGGTGGCTGGTAGAAGGACGCCTCAAATAGCACAAACTGGAAGCCCACAGACAAGGGCGACGGGTCCGGGCGATGCACCAGGTACGAGACAATCCACGTGACGCCGCCCGCGTACACCGCGTCTCGCTCCGACGTGAACAGGATGGCGGCAGCGCCTGTGGCGCCTGGTTGGGTGGCCCGCGGAGTGAAGGAAAGCTGGCCGTTGGAGGCGTAGGTTGGGTTGAGGTACTTGGGGAGCACGTAGTGCAGGGCGATGTCGAATGTGGTGTAGCGGAGAGAGTAGGCTGCTGCTGGTGCCTGCATGGGAGAGGGGGAGTGGGGGATGTGCAAGGTTAAGCATTGGGATTATGGTATGGGTTGGCGAGTGCATGGATGGGGGGGAGATAGAAGGAGCTCTTATGGTATGTCCGGCGAGAAATTGCTTTGTGAGTTGTGCAAGCAGACAAGGTGGCTGACTGGGAGGGGGTCAGAGGCAGGGGATGGTGAGGAAGGCAAGGGAGTAACATGCGGTGGGGGGTAGGGAAGGCAGAAGAGGGATATCCGGACTCACTGCAACAGTCTCTGTGGTGGGCTGCTTGGGGGAGTCAGCGGGGTCGAGAGTCACGAGGGAGGGCGCGCCTATCACTTCCAGAGGCTTCGATGCCTTGTTCACCGCATTGAGCACCACCACATCCGCCCCTCCATGCCGCTGCTGCTGTTGGCCATTCAAACTCCCGGTCCCGCCCGCATCCGCACCAGCAGCAACAGTAGCCGCAGAAGCAGCGCTCGCAGCAGCAGCAGCGCCGTCAGACGCGCTGCCATCCTCCGCGGACGGCGGCCCCGGATCGGCACCAGTGACGCGGTTCCACCACAGGTTCACGCTGAACGAGGCTTGCGCGACGACGGCAGGCAGCAGGCGCGTGGGAAGCGACGCGACATAGGTGCGACCGAAGGACGTGATGTTGACGTAATACTGTATGTCCAGGAACGACGCGCTGCCAGGCGCCGCGCTGTCGTAGCAGATACCGTTGCCGTCCTTGACTGGTCGGCGGAGAAGGCGGCGGAGGGGCGGAGGGGAATGGGGGAATGTAGGAGGGAGGGTTGTAGATGATGGAATGATGATTGATGGAATGAAGCGGCGAAATAGACTGAACCAGGAACGGCAGAGAAGGGACAGGCTCTGGGACTCGCGGCGCGCGTACTGGATGAGCCGGGGTCTACGCCGGCGAACATGACGTCCGCGTAGTTGAGGTCAAACGCGCCGCTCTGCGTGGCGGCCGCCGCATTGTCGTCGCGCGCCTTGAGGCAGATGGCGTTGCCCGTCTGCTCGTACCGCTGCGACGGTTGGGTTGCGATTATGATGACGATGAGGATGCGATTGTAGTACCGGAGACGGCGCGGGATAAGGGGGGGTAAGGAAGAGAAAGCGGTTTTCGAATGGGGAGGAGGGCAAGGAGGGGCGGGTATAGGGGCGATCGGAATGATGACGGAAAGATGACGGGGATCGGATGAAGGGTGAAAGAGGGAGGGGGGTGGAGAGATAAAGACATGGCGAAGAGACGGCGAGAGAACGTCGCTGCTAGCGGCATTGCGTGTGAGTCTTGCGGCTGAAGGTCTGATGTTGAACATTTTGCGAGAGGTGCCTTACTGTGAGAGAATAGAAGACTTTGCTGGCGCGTGCTGTTACGAGAAGAGACAGGACGAGGATGGCTGGGATCAATCGAGAAAGGGGATGATGAGCCATGGCTTCGGATCGCTCTAGAATAGGATTGGCTAGGAATATCAGCTGGTCGATGTCGGCTGCCAAAGAAACTCACTTGCTTAAAATCTGGCACCAAGCTGCAGCAGGAAGGTGGGCGCATTATTCAGAGAAGTGCCTTCTGCGAGGTGGACATGAATTGTGATGTTGGTCGTGTGGGTCGAATTCAACCTGTCTGTGCTGCCTATTCGACCTGTCTTGCATTTGAATGGTGGAGGAAAAGACGCGGCTCGTGAATCAATGGCTCCGAACGTGAACAACCTCCATGTTACCTTTTTGTGATGTATTCCCGTGAAGCATAAATGTTTTCGATACGCCTGGCCAGCAGATAATAGACTCAGCATCTCAGCTTTAACAAAGTTAAAACGAATGTAAGTACATATGAAGAGAGCAGAGTTATGGTGAAGATCAGAAACTACGAGGAGGAACACCAAAATTTTGCCCACAAACTTCTGGGTCTACCCCACAAAGTTTCCAGCGGGTTGACTCTTGTTTTGTTCTGTGCTGATGTATGGGCCTCGATCCATGGATAACACGACGAAAGTGCCCGATAGGCGTCTGTCTCTCCCCCAACAGACCTTTTGTTGTTTCCCCTGAAAATTTATCTGCGTGAGTGGTCTGTTACAGATACCTGGAACGAATCAGCACTGTTCAGCAATCTCTGCACCGCCACCACACAGCTGCCGTGAAGGACACTGTTGCACAGTTGACTCGCTCAACATCTGGGGATTTACACTTCCAAACGATCTGGTAGTGTAGCTTAGAATGAATGAGATAGTTCGCAACACATAGTGAAGTATTTATTTTCCTTCACCTTTCTGCATCACATTGTGTTTACAGTACCTGCATACCAACTTACTTTTTAAGAGAAAAATAAATCCATAAAGGTTCTTCTTGAACGGGCAAAGGGTGAATTGTGAGAGGGAATGTACCCTCTGGTCACATGCATATACCACATTGAGCTTATTCTACAAATTTAGCTGCAGCAACCTCCTCATCAATCGCCTCAGAGGTTTCCTCCTGTAGCCCAGGACTATCTTCCAGCTCAGAGGCCACCATCCGCACACACTCGTTCGGTTGGTCATCCTGCTCTCTGTAGTCCTCGTCGTCATCCCCCTCTCCGATATATTCATCTCCCTCAATGTACTCCTCCACCTCATCGTTCTCATCATCCTCCTCCTCCTCCCCAGCATCATAGCCTCCCACTGGTTCCGCACTTCTACGCACCGCTGTCCCTCCTTCATCCACCATTTGGTTATTTCCAACTTGCAGTTGCTCCTCCACCACTGGAGCCTGCGGGAGTTTTGGAGGTGGTGCTGCAGCAGCAGCTGCTGCTGCTGGTGGTATGGATCCTGACGTGGCTGTAGTAGAGGCTGTAGAAGCCACAGCACTAGAAGCACCAGCATTAGCAGCTGCAGTGGCATGTCCCCGAGGTGAGCTGGATGGGTGGCCGTCATTTTTCTGTTCCAGGACGAACAGGGAAGTGCAGAAGGAAGGAGGAAAGATCAAGACGGTAAGAAGCAGCATTAAGGGGAGGGAGTAAAAGAAGGGAACCCAAAGGCAGAGACAGTTTTTATCAAGCATAGCATGCAAGAAAGGATAGAGTAAAGACAGTGTGCTAACTAAAAGGTTGCGAGCTGCCACTTACTGACTGCCACCATCCCCACACACTGCCACCGCCACCACTCTTCTTGCCTGCATCTTCTTTATCACCAGCAACGCTTCCAATCCCACCATATAACCCTCCCACCACACTTGCCATGCCTCCTCCAACCCCCACCCTTGACACTGCTTCCCCTCCCCTTGCTCTTTCTCCTGCCCCACCCCCTCCTGTCTCTCCTCCCCCTGTGCCCCCAATAGCAGCGGCATGGTCTTGAAGCCACTGTCTGACCCTCACTGCCTCCTTCTCCTTCTTCTCCACCCTTCGCCGGCACTCCACTGCTTCCTGAGAGTACCAAGGCAACCCGCCAACCACAACGTGCATCAACCATAGGGAAGATTTGGGGCAGCAGTCAAGCATATGGAGAGAGGGGACAGAGGAGGGGAGTGAGTGAAAGGCCCGTGCGGGTGAAAAAACTCCAAAAGACAGACCATACATATGTAATGCATGCGAGACAAATATACAGTACCCAAGAGAAATCACAAACACGACTGCGTATGTGAAGAGAACAAAACGGGGCAGAGAATGAGACGATGACGTGTACAGTATCTGCACCCAAAGTGCTTCAAACTTGTGTGTACACATGAGATGATGACGAGAGAGAGCAGGGCAATGAATGCGGCACCTGATGCAGCTCTGGCAGTCTCTGCCGAGCCTTGATGAGCGACGACTGCGTCCACATCAGCTGCTCCCGCATCACCCGTATCTCATCCAGCAGCTTCGCCCGCTCCTTCGCTACAGCAGACAGCGACGCTGGAACAACAACCGCAGGCTCCGTCGCTCTCCCAAGAGCAAACAGCTTCTTCAGCCCTGCTGCTGCACTGCCCTCCCTCGCTCCTGCCATGCTTACAGCCGCACTCAGATCAGGATGGTCTCGGTCAATTTGCCTCAGCCGCAGGCTCTTCTCTTCCAGATCTGATCTAATCACCTGCTCCGTTGCCTCAAGAGCGATGATCCTCCCCTCCACTTCTTCCTCCTCCAAAGCCCGCACCTTGGCCTCCTTGCCCTCCTCCTCAATCTCCTTGCTCAGAACCCGCTCTGTTTCTCGCAGCGCCTCTGCCTGCTCGCGAATCATCTCCGCCTCGACCAGCTTCGCCTGCACTGCTTGCAGCTCCCTCTGCACATCCTCAACTAATCTCCTTTCCTCCGCCACCACAGCCTCAATCGCCGCCTGCAGCTTCTCTGCCTCTGCAACCCTGCTCATGACCCCGTCAAGCTCCTTCTCCAGTAGCTCTGCCATTAATGCGCTGGCTGCAGGCTCCTCCTCCCTGCCTTGCACCTGCACCCCCCGGGCTTGAGCCCCCGACCAATCAGCCCCTCCCCCGCCCCCCCCTCCCACAACTGACGACGCGCCAGCAGCAGCAGTCACAGCAGCGGAAGCAGCAGCAGTAGCAGCAGCAGAAGCAGCAGCAGAGGCAGCAGCAGAGGCAGCAGCAATGGCATCAGCCATGCTAGTCAGGTCTGAGCCTGTCCCGGACCATCCTTTCACACGGCTTCGCTCAGCCACAGCCGCGTGCGTCTCCACACTGCGCACCACCTCCTGCAGGTCCTCCTTCACGCTCTCAATATCCGCCAAAGTGATTCGGTATCGGTGGTACGCGGCGCCCTTGTTCCTCGCCTGCACCTCGTGCACCTTCACCAGCCGCGCCACCTCACTCAGCAGCGCAAACAGACACTTCTCCGCCGCCTTCTCCCTCTCGTTCGCTGATGCAACCAGCGCTGCTGCCGCCGCCGCCTCCTCTTCCACCCTCTCCTTCGCCTCCCCTACCAGTTGCAGGCACACGCGGTTGAACGCACCCCGTATCCCCTCCCTGTCCCTCTCCTGCTCCGCCCTGGTCTGCTCCTCTCGTGCCTCTGCCACCTTGTGCCGCCCCTCCTGCACCTCCCGCTGCAGCACTGCCACCTCCTGCTGGAGAGCCTCTGCTTTCCGCTGCAGCATCTCGCCCTGCTCTTTCAGCGCCTTCACCTGCAGCTCCAGCTGCTCCTTCACTAGCCCCAGCACTGCCGCTGCCGACTGCGCATCCTGCAGAGCAGCAGCGGTTTCTCCATTCCCACCACCCTCACCACCACCATTACCACCCGTGGAACCGCTTGCTACTGAATCACCTCTCGTCTCGCCTCCTCCTCCTCCTCCTCCTCCTCCTCCTCCTCCTCCTCCTCCTCCTCCTCCTCCTCCTCCTCCTCCTCCTCCTCCTCCTCCTCCTCCTCCTCCTCCTCCTCCTCCTCCTCCTCCTCCTCCTCCTCCTCCTCCTCCTCCTCCTCCTCCTCCTCCTCCATGCATGTGGTCTCCCGTGTCTGCCGCCCCATCAAAGGCAGACTCCAAAGACTTGGGCAACATGCCCGAGTCTCCTCCTTCTCCGCCCTGCCCTGCTGTGCCACCTACCCCGGTAGCCCCTTTCCCCTGCATCCCAAGTGTTCCCTCTCCCGCCCTGTGATCACCAACAGCTGCAGGCGTGCCACCAGCAGGCCCACCAGGAGTACCAGCAGCAGTAGGAGTACTAGCTGGAGCAGCATTCGCCTTAGCCAGCTGCCGCTCCAGATCTCTCTTCACCCGTTCTAGCTCCTGCCGTTTCTGCCACTCCTGCTCGGCCATCACCCCAGCCTCTGCAGACAGTTCCCTCTCCATCCTGAGCTCCTCATTCAGCGACCCCACCTCCCGCTGCAGCTCCCGCTTCTCCTTCCCTAGAGACTGCACCTCGTGGCTCAGCCTCTCCTCTGCTGCTTTCAACTGCGCCACCTCTGCCCGACACACCAATAGCTCCTGCTGCACTGCTGCCAACTCCTCTTCCTTCCCTGCTCCTGTTCCTCCTCGTCCTGCCCCTGCCCCAGCCCCTTCTCCTGCTGGTACTGAGACTGCATCATCGGATCGGGCTGTTCCTCCTTCAGCATTCTCCTCTGCCTCAGCTGCTGCAGCTCCTGTAACCGAATCCTTTGCTGTTCCCACCCCATCTCCACCTCCGCTGCCATTCAAACCACCACTGTCACCACTGTCTCCGTTTCCAGAAGGCGCGGAGGCAAAGGCAGTGCGGGCGGGGGAGGGAGGGCGATGCGCAGTGGCAGCCTGGCCGGTTGACGCCTCGGCAAACTGCTTCTGCCAGTGGTTGCGCTCGGCCTCTAGCTGGGTCAGCCGCACCCGCAGTTCCGACTCCTGATGCCGAGCAGCGGAGTGGGAGACAGGGCGGGGGGAGAAAACAGGGCTATAAGAGGAAAGGGGGCGGGGAGCACAAGCAATACGAGAGGGGATGAAGGAGACGATGACAGCATGGGACACTGGTGCGGGCGGGCACTGGCATGGCAGGTACAGGCACTGATGGAGCTGACTGGTAGAGAGGCAGAGTGACTGACCGTTTTGTTCCACTCCTCCTGCATGGCGAGCAGCTCGTCCTCCTTGTCCATCCGCTCCCTCGCCAGCTCCGCTGAGTGCTCCTTCCACCGCTCCACCTCCTCCTGCAGCTGCCGTATCTCCTGCTCACACCAAGGGTCGGCAGACGGTTCAATCAGGGATCGGATCAGACAGCGATTGGGTAGAGTGTGTAAGCCAGGGGGGGCTGTGGTGCGTCTGGAGGTGGCAGTTGCAGGCATGGGAGGGGAATGAGCGGCTGTGGACTGATATGCAAGCCATACCAGAAGAAAAAAGAGCCTTGATAAACAATGTAAGGATTTCTTAGTGTGAGCCTGTGCATGATCAGATAAGCGCTCGGACTTCTGCCATTAACCACTTCAGTGCCTCATATTGCAGTTAGTTTTGGATCACAAAACGATAACGGAGAAACCATGCAATTACCCGTGGTGCCCACCTGCTCTGCCTGTCGTGCAGCCCGGGAAAGGGAAGGCGATGGGGCAGGGGACTCTTGTTGCTGCTGCTGCTGCTGCTGCTCTTGCAGCTGCTTCTGGGCCTCCTGTAAAATGAGGAATTGGATAGGAGAAGCAGTATGTGGGTGGGTATGATGGACGGAATAGGTCGAGAGATTGGGAAGTAATGAGACTGAACGAGAGGAGCGGACTGACAAAGGGCATTCATGGGCATTCAGAGAAGAACGACTGCCACACACTTCTCTCGAGGTGCATGAATGGACTCAGAAGCAATAGCAGCACCAGCAACACCATCAGCAACAGCAATAGCAGCACCAGGAGCAGCAGCACCGGCAGCAGTGGGGCGACAATTGTTCTGGCAGCAGTAGCGGAAACACGAGGGGGGAGGAGTGTACCTGGAGTTTGTTTTGCAGCTGCTGCAGCTCTGATTGGTGCTCTGCCAGCTGATGCTGCCACTGGCGCGCCAACACCTCCATCTCCTCCTCCTTCCTCAGCAGGGAATTCTGCAAGCGCCACACGAGCACCACTGAGCTTCAGGAGAACGATCACAAGATGTTGGACGCAGGGCGGGACGGAGCAAGAGAAGTAGGAAAATACTACGGCGGGACGAAGCCTTTTTTCTACATTCCGTCTTATTTCCGGACCCAGCATCAGACAGGTTACCAAAAGCCCCATGCAAACCCCTGTTGCTTCACCTGAGCATCAGCTTTCGCCTGGGAGAGAGTGACAATGATGTCCTGCGCTTCCTCCAGCTCGCCCTTAAGAGCCACCACCTGCTCCTCCAGCGCTGCTCGCTCTGCCACCGCACTCGCCTCTGCTGCTGCAGCTGCAGCTGCTTCACTCTCCTTCTCCCTCACCAGCCGTGCCACCTCCTCCTGTAAGAACGTCACTGCATGGTCATCGTCACTGCCCCTTGACCCCTCGCTTACCCTCTCCCGCTCCCTCTCCTTGTCTTTCCTCTCCTTCCGATCCTTCCTCTCTCGCCTTTCTTTCTCCTTCTCCCTCTCCCTCTCCCTCTCCTTATCCTTTTCCCTATCCTTGTCCCTCTCCCGTTTCTCCCTCTCCTTGTCCCTGCTCCCGTCTTCCTCCTTCTCCTTCTCCTTCTCTTTCTCCTTGCTCTCCTCCTTCGTCTGCACGACCACAGACACGAGTGGACAAAGAGCAGTATCAACCACCACTAGTGACCAGTAGGATCAAACACCACGAGGCTAGCTGGCCTGGCACACACCATATCTTGCCTCATCTGACCGCCGCCTAACAACAAGCCATGCGTTCGTTCCCTCGCAAGCTCACCCCCCTACCGAGGTAAAGAACGGCGTGTTATTCCTTGTTTCCAAATGTGTACCTTACAGATCACCCTCTTAGCCGGAGTACCTTACAGCGTGTTTCCTTTGGGTGTGTGTGGGTTTCCCTCGGGTTCATGACACTCACCTTGTGGCGCGGGCGGGGCGAGTTTGTGGCGTCAGAAGAGGCGGACGAGGGCATGCGGGGTTTGAGGCCTGATGGCTCGTCCTGGCGGGACCGAGACGAGGACGACTGGAGGAAGAAGAGGGAAGAAGCGGGAGGAGAACCCGAGGGAGCAGGTTGTGGGATGGCAATATCGGACGACGAGTTGCGGGGGTGGGAGGTGCAGGAGGGGAGGGGGTGTGTGGACGGCGGATAGGGGAAGATAAACGGATTTGTCAGGGAAGACAAGAGAAGCTGTGAGGACGTGAGTGTTTGAGGTTGAGAGAGCACGGTGTGAGAGGGAGGCGAGGAAAAGGAGAAGAAGCAAGAGAAGGAGACGGGAAGAGGGGTGGGGGGAACACAAACGGAGGGACAGGTCATGGATGTGGCTACACAAGGGAGTGAAGAGAACTGACCCTTGATGAATGCTTGGAAGGGGAAGCGAGTGAGGAGGCTGTAGAGGAGGCGGAGGAGGGGGACCGCGTGAGCCCTGGCTTGGACTGAGTGAACCCAACAAGTGTACCGTGGGAGGATGGGAAGTATAGGCATGGGAGAGGGGAGCGAAAACAATAAACAAGAGGGCCCCAGGAGCGGGAGGGGAGATGGAAAAGGGTAGGAAAGTTTGGTTTGGAAAGGAACATGAGTAGAGGAAGGTCACGGAAGGAAGTCACGGAAGATAAGGGGGTGTTGAGCGAACATTTAACGCGACAATAAACGTACCCTGGGCGTATGCGAGTGGGAGAGTGAGTGAGAATGCGAGGCGGAGTGGGAAGACTGGGAGAGGGAGCGAGAACGAGGCGACTCAGAAACAGCAGCTCTCCCGGGAGTTGCTGCTACTGCCTGTGCATCGTCCCCAGGCACTTGCGGCGAGGACAAGAGGGAATTCTGGTCCAGGCTTGGCGGTGGAACAGGGGCGTGAGCGGGTGACGGGCTGTCCTCCATTTTGACCTGCATGCCACCACCAGCAATGTGACAATATGGCGCATTAGCAGTGTGACAGTATGCCGCGTTACCAGCGTGACAGTGTGCCGTGTTAGCAGCGCGACAGTATGGCGCGTTAGTAGCTTGACAGTACGGCGCGTTAGCCGTAGAGTGTCAGTTTTGCACGTTAGCAGCGTGACAGTACGGTGCATCAGCGAGCGACGCTATTAGCCAGTGTGCCATAATGATTCTGCGAATCCTTGCACTTGCTAGACCTTCTTTGCCGGATATTGGACTGGCGAGGCTACATAGACCGGTGCAACGACCGTCATGCTGAGGCTTTATGACATCGAGTTGTGAACTCGTGGCGTTGCCGCCCCCAATGTCGGCCGCGACACGGAAATGGGTATCGAGGAATTCTTAGCCTGCTACTACACTAAGTGACGCTGCGTATTCATGGATGTAATTATCCGTTTTTTGTTTTATGTTTTTTTCCCTTTCGTGGACAATGCGCGTGACGCGTTTATTATCCCAACCCGCTTTCAGATGGTAGTTCTTTCTCGGTGGAGCAACAGCTGAGTTCATTCACTTACCAGTTGCGGCAAGACAGTAGCAGACACTGTCATTTCATCGCTTCCAAGTCAACGTTGCAGTTTCCGCTCAATACAGCTCAGCGGATGTGTGACTGGATTGACTGACGGCGTCCCTCGACTCACGGCTACTCACGTGTACAATCCACGGCTCCAGAACTAGTATGCTGATTGTGACGGCGTTCCTAGACTCCTGATTTCTTAGTTTAGATTCAGCCAAAGAATTTCTGTTGGTTGTGTTATGTGTGCAGCGAGTCTCACGTCCTGCGTCATTCCCTTGGTGGGCTGTGTTCTCAGTCTCGCTTGCTTTTCTGGTGGTGGGTGGCCTGTAGTGGCTTGGTTGATGAGGGCGAACCTGAAGTTCGGGTTCTGTGCTCGGATGTTCGGCTCGGCAGGCTCTGGCGTCAGTTCCGTCAAGGACCTAACGGCAAGCTTTTTGCAAAACCTGTCACTCGAATCGAACCTGAGTTCCGTTGAACTGTTGATAAATCAGAGCCAGGCCAAAGCCGAGCCTAAAAAGAGAAAGTTACTCGAGCCGCTTCGCGCCAACATCCGCAACCAATTGGCACGATCACCTGAAACCTGCAGCATAACCGGACCGCACGCCCCAAACCTGTGGAGAAACTACAGTGCTGTACTGTATTTGGCTAGGCTGCCTGATAGAACAACCTACCAAATCGGGAGAATATGTCACAAGTAACCAACATTTGACTCGATAACGTGAGAGGTAAAAAAGTAACGCGTACGGTTACTGTATCGGGCTTGCTGACGGGTTTGGTAAGTGGGGTCACGGATTCAGTCACTAGCAACAGGTGAAAAATCACGCGAATGGTCACACATGTAACTCCCGCCAAAATTTCCTGAAACCCTACAAAATTCCCGTTCGCGCCCAGCCAATCAGCTAATTTATAAAAATACTAAAACCCGATCGGAATCGGATGCAATTTGGGAGTTGTGTTTAGGGTTGATTCATCCGAAAATGCATCCAGGTTCGTTTTGGGTATTAACTTTTTTGGGCGGGAGTTTCATCTGTGACCATTCGCGTTATTTTTTTCCAGTTGATTGTGACTGATTCCGTGAAATGTTTTATCAAACACGTGAAAACACCCTTTGCAGTGACCGTACCCGTTTGTTTTTTTATAAACATATTATCGAGACCCTTGTTGATTACGAGTGGCATATTTTCCCTACCGAATTTGGCTTACGCAGCATTCGTAGGTTGTGTGCAATCAGGTAGTGTTCTATGTGAACTCAGCTAGTGTTATACGCGTAATCTAGTGCTCTAGGATCAAGTTGTACTCAAAATTGTTCAATGACCTTTACAACTCAACTAATCCTGACCTACATCTTGCAAACAATTTATCGTTCCAAATCAAAGGCCCAAGAAATACTTTCATCTAATTTACAACATCTGTGTGTAGAGAACTACCATACACATATCCTAGGTCATGACAAGCGGTAAATATCCATTGGGAGGATGGTGACACGTGTCTTAGGGTTGAGCGGACGAGGAGAAACTGCCAGCCAGTCAAAAAGTGCCTTTCCTCGAAATAAGAACTGCAATAGGCAGGAAGAGTATGAAGCAATGGCAAAAAACATCAATACCGACTCCCATGCACGAGCAACACTGCCAGAAAGCATTCTAGTAAAAAAGAACAAAAAGGGAACATACTGCATGGAGCTTTGGCTGCTTGCTGGCATGGTTGCCACTGCTCTGTCTCTTGCGCGTCCGTTGCACCACAGCCACAACATCTGAACAAACACGTCCATCCTACACGCACAAATGAAAACATGGGGAACAGCAGGTCCAGGTCTTATTCAAGAGCCCACTTCGGTCCAAGCAGTGTAGCCACTACTGTGAAAAGACATTTAAAAGAATACAGGGAAAGAAAGGAATGCACACCGGGACCACAACGAGACAACTCACATATAATCCTGCTTTACCTGTGATACAAGAGGCTCCAGCGAGATGCAGCAGGTCGAGGGATGCTCCCTGAACCAGGCAAACAGCTCTGGCAGCACAATCTGGTGGCAGCAGGTGTGCAGCATGGCTGATGCAGCATGCACGAGCCGGAGCATGCCATCCATGTGGTCGCCACACAGCCCCTCCAACACAGACCGCTGCACAGCAGGAGGCATGGCCGCCACCAAGTCATGATCTACACAAAACCACTCAGTCAGCAGCCACCAAAAGGGTGTCGGTCGAATAGATACCATGGATGCTCCTGGTACCATGATCAATGGTGGTGATGGTGAGACAACTTCTGCAGGTGCAAGCACGGGAGCCACTGCTGCTGCTGCTGCTGCTGGCACTGTTGCTGCTGCTGCTGGTGACACCGCTATTGATGTTGCTGCTGCTAATCTTGATGGCCCCCTGAGAATATTTTCGGATTGCTGAGACTGAGCAAGGGCCAGAGGATGATGAAAAAGACACCCTCCTTGAGGATGTCCCGAGACAAACACACTTGTTTGTTGTAGGTTTCTCAAAAGCGGCTGTGAATGGCAGATCGGTGGACAATGGGTAGATGGGGCACTCTCTCTAGCTGTATGCCCTGAAGCCGCTCCTGTTCTCCCCTCTGAAGGTCTGGTGATGGTTGGAAGAGCTGTTGCTGGCGAGGGACAAGAAGCCTGTAGGCGTGTCCAGTCAGGCACCTTTTTACCAGACATATCGCAATCGCAGGGAGCTGCAGCACCCATGCTAAAATTCCCGGCATCTAACGTTTTTTCATCAGCTTGGTTGCAACTAAAGGATGAACCGATGCTGATGGCGACTTCGGGACAGTGCTTGTTCTGCAATCTCTCAACTTTCGCTTCTATGTGCAGGCTGCTGGCTCCACTGCAAGAATGTGAAGGGCTTGCAAAGAGGCCAGGAGAAGTCCCAGACGGAAGGAAACCACCAGTGTTTTGAGGAGGTGTAATGACAGTGGAGGGTCGAGAGAGGAGAGAATGGCTTCGTGCGTAGTGGTCAGGTTGGCAGGTAGGCGTGCCCGGAGCCGCATGAAGACAGATGTCACTCGAAGAGATTTGCAGGTCTAACAGAGTCTGGCTCTCACATAACGAAGCAGCAGTATCCGACTGCGCAGCCAAAGCCACCATTCCACACAAACACAGTCACACACAAGCACGCGGTAAAGGCAGGGACAAAACAAGGAGGATATGAGAGAAGCTAGTGTTCGACCTGTGTGGAGCAGCCTGTATTTCAATAATAAACTGCTCCTTTAACTTCCCTTGATGCAGCATTTTTTTCTTCGCCCTTCCCAGAAAAAGAGCAAATAAGTATGCATAAGAAAGGGTAGGGAAACTGACCAGATAATCGATTAAGTTGAGTAAATCTCGGTTAGGGCAGGCGAGCGCCAAAATACCCCTGCAAGCAAACAGCGGCTCCGTTACAGCACTAAGAAAAAAAAAAGAGAGAAAAAAAACGAGGGGGGTTGGCAGGACCAAAGAAATTAGTCACGCGCATTCCGTACTTCAACAATCGCACATCTAGCTTCCTTCGGAGCCACGACCGCTCCACCGCTTTTGCCATCATTTGCTGCCAGGTTCCACAAAAACCACAAAAACACCCAACAAAGCCATGTCATGGCAACGGAATGCACTACGCTTCAAGAAGCCAAACCAAACCAAGCAACAGGTTTGTAGCGCTATGCAAGCAAGCTATTTGATCACGAACAACAAAAGCCTCAGCTCTGATAGAAGCCCTTACATGTAGACGAAATTGCTGATGAGAGGAGAGGCGAGGATTCAGCAATACAAAAAACGCGATGGCCCTGCATCATCGGGTTCATAAAAACAAGCGTGATTCAAAAAGGTAATGTGGACGACCCAGCGATAGGCACTTGATGGAACGTAGTATTTTAAATAACATTAAACCAAAACAAATGGTTTAGTTTGGAAACCGGGAAATACCTGGTAGCAGCGAAGTCGATAATCCACTGGACGATCGTGGCTTCGACGGAATCACACCACTTGGTAACCTGCGAAGAAGGCCAAACACGCAGCGAGAAGTCTCACTAAACTATGGACGAATTCTGGGAACATCTGGAACAAGGTGAACAAGGATTCGAGGACGCGCCGAGAAACCCTACGAGTGGTGTGCCTTAATATTCTACTAACCTTCTCGGACAATTGAAAGAAGGCACCTCGATTTGCGCATAGTGGTGTGCCTATGATGGGATTAGGTCACGCAGACAGCAGATACAAGTCGATCTTTCACTTTTATTGTGCAGTTAAAAAACAAACAAACGTGGAAAGCGAAAAAAAATAAAAGATAACACTTTCGGAAAAACGTGCAACGAACCCACGCCCCTCTTAAACGATGCGATAGGGATCAAATGCAGGTTGAAAAGGTAAAGCCGAAAACGATCTGAAGGGCTACAAGTAGTAAAACGGCTAGTACTGACCTAACGGTACACCATGCGCTTGCCACGACGGTCACAGAAAGAAGTACCTGTGCCAAAAGTATGCTGAACTGTTCTTGCCACGCATGACACATCATAAGGACGCATCTGGAGCACGCTTCACACGGTATGCGCTTTGATGTATATCTCTACTTGAAAGCTGTTAAAAACGCTCCCTTGCGAATGACAGGAGGTAACCTAACAAACCATGCACTCAGAAGGTCGAGCTCTAAAAGGCAGAGGAGCTAAGCAACATGGACAGTAGTCATGGTCACGGGGGGAACTGTTTTAGGTCTGCTAGGTTTGTGTGGTTAGTATGTAAGGCTCCATGAAGTGGTTCTGTGGTAAGGTTGAGGGTTGTTTGTTACATCTCCGTGATTACAGGACGAAATCTACACCGTCACTCGGTGTGAGCAAGGGTCACTCCTTGGCTGGGCTGATCAAGGACTCGTCGTGAGTGCCCAGCTTCTGTACAGCAACGATTCGAGGGACTAATCCCAAGGACCAATTTTGTCAGCCTGCGCTAAACTAATTGTCTTTCCAAAATATTGTGAAAACTGCCCCAGCACGGTTTTGCTACCCAAAACACACCTAGACGGAAATCTGATTCATTGACTCATAACAAGCACTCGACAGCTCAACCAAGGCAATGGTGGTTCTCGTGTTTGCTGGCACTTTACGAAAGATGTACGTGGATTGGATAACAGGAGCAGCAGGTGAGATTCTTCAATTCGAACATCGTGGCGCTGACAGGATTGAGTACTTCCGAAGTAATTGCCACGTTGAGTGTGTGCCTTGCAAGCCTGCGTTCAACTGTGGCCCTTCCAATGGCGGAAACGTTCAGTCCTCGGTAAACGTAACCTTAATAAAGCATTACTCGCATAGCCGCTCGCTGTAAGCATCAAATGTACTACATGAACATATTGTTTCAACGTATATTCCTTTTAGCTCGAAATCAAACTATCCAGTGATCTGATCCAACCCATTTTCAACCGATGTTGGGGTATTCCCAGTAATGTATGCTTATGGATGAAAATGCTTATGGGTATTCTTATGGGTATTCCCAGTAATGTATGCTTATGGCTATTCACAGTAATGTATGCTTATGTATGCTTATTTATGCTTATGGACAAACATTTTTTGCAATATCAAGTACCGTATCGCCCCGGATATAAGCGCAGGCCTATAAAAAGCGCATGCGTTTATATCTGGAGCAATGCGCTTATGGCCAATCCTCAATTATAAGCGCACCCCCTGTAAAACCCTGTTTTATTATAAGCGCATGCTGAACCTTTTATTCAAAACCTGCTAAACACAGTAACGAGTTTCAAAATTGAAGTGAGTCTAATTTCTTAATCGCTTCGTTTGACTCGCGAAGACCCCAGAAGCTGCGTGTCAGGTCAAGATGTGCTGGCATAGGGGCAAACTGACGTGTCTTATCCCCTGTGTGTTGGAAGAAAATCGGTAGCGTGCAATTCTGATTTTTGGCGCTATAAAATTTCACCTCGATTGGAAGGGTACGACTGAGATGTACATTTTGATGCTATAAAATTATAAATCTGTATCTGTCATTATATAAGCGCATGCGCTTATAAAAATGACTCAATTAGAAGCACACCCCCCTAAAAAACTATGCTTTATTATAAGCGCAGGTGCGCTTATATCCAGGGTAATACGATAGTACATGTTGAAATTAAGAGGTCGCTAGAGTATGTCAAGCTTATATATGCTATAGTCTATTTAGGCTGTAGTGGGCTAGTTTTTATAGGGTACAACACTTTAGGTTTCCTACTTGTACCCACCTGCTTCCTAGTTCATTCATTCCGTTCCTTATTCTAACATGGTATCAGAGCAGGTTCCCTAGTGGGAACGTTTTTTTAGGGCCCACCACGAAATTTTCTCCTGCCCTGCCCGAAGCGCGCGTTGCGGCCCCTTAGCCGCTCGTCGGCCCCTTACGCCGTCCGTCACGGCCCCTGAGCCGCCCGTCGTCGGTCCCTGAGCCGCCCGTCACGGCCCCTTCGCCGCCCGTCGGGCCCTTAGCCGCCCGTCGGCCCCTTAGCCGCCCGTCGCGGCCCCTTAGCCGCCCGTCGGCCCCTTAGCCGCCCGTCGCGGCCCCTTAGCCGCCCGTAGTCGGCCCCTTAGCCGCCCGTCGGCCCCCTTAGCCTCCCGTCGCGGCCCCTTAGCCGCCCGTCGTCGGCCCCTTAGCCGCCCGTCGGCCCCTTAGCCGCACGTCGCGGCCCCTTAGCCGTCCGTCACGGCCCCTTAGCCGCCCGTCGTCGGCCCCTTAGCCGCCCGTCGCGGCCCCTTAGCCGCCCGTCGGTCCCTTAGCCGCCCGTCGCGGCCCCTTAGCCGCCTGTAGTCGGACCCTTAGCCGCCCGTCGGCCCCTTAGCCGCCCGTCGCGGCCCCTTAGCCACCCGTCGTCGGCCCCTTAGCCGCCAGTCACGGCCCCTTCGCCGCCCGTCGGCCCCTTAGCCGCCCGTCGCGGCCCCTTAGCCGCTCGTCGGCCCCTTAGCCGACTGTCGCGGCCCCTTAGCCGCCCGTCGCCCCCCCCCCCTTTCGCCGCCCGTCACGTCCCCTTAGCCGCTCGTCGCCGGCCCCTCAGCCGCCCGCCACGGCCCCTTCGCCGCCCGTCGGCCCCTTCGCCGCCCGTCACGGCCCCTTAGCCGCCCTGCCGGCCCCTGCTGACGCGCCCCTGCCGGCCCCTGCTGACGCGCCCCTGCCGGCCCCTGCTGACGCGCCCCTGCTGGCGCGCCCCTGCCGGCCCCTGCTGGGGTGACCCCTACTGGCCCGGCCCCTGCTGACGCGCCCCTGCTGACGCGCCCCTGCCGGCCCCTGCTGACGCGCCCCTGCCGGCCTCTTCTGGCGCGGCCCCTGCTGTCACAGCCCGCCCCTGCACCCGTCTCTGGTAAGCCGAGCCGCGCCGCCCAGCTAAGCCGCGCCGCCCAGCCGAGCCACGCTGCCCAGCCGAGCCGCGCTGCCCACTGAGCCGCGCCGCTCTACCAAGCCGCACTGCCCTACCGAGCCGCACTGCCCTGCACTGCCCTCCTGCCTCTGCTGCTATTGCTGCTACTGCTGCTACTCTTGCTACTGCTCCTACTGCTGCTATGGCTAGTCCTACTGTTCTCACCTTTGATGCTGAGGGACGTGCAGTTGACTTTGACGTGTGGGTTGACGACCTACAGCTCTTTCTTCAGTGTGATTCTAGGGATGGGGTATCCCTTTTCGATCACACGTCCGGTGTTTCTAGTGCTCCTGCTGCCACTGCTGACAGTACGGTTCGCTCGCAGTGGACCACTCGTGATGCTGTTGCTCGTCTTGCTGTTTGTAGTCACCTGCCGCCTGCTGAGCGTGCGCATTTTGGCCAGTACAAGACTGCTCAGTCTTTGTACGACGTTGTAGTTGCACGCTACTCCTTCCCTGCCACTGCTGCCCTCAGCTGCCTCATGCTGCCGTACCTTTTCCCTGACCTTGCCACCTTTGCCACAGTCGCTGACCTAGTTGCTCACCTTTGCACTAGTGACGCCCGCTACCGCGCTGCCCTTCCCACTGAGTTCTGTGCCAAGAACCCCCCCCCCATGTACATCACCCTTTACTACCTAGTCACCCGCCTCCCTGACTCCCTTTCTTCAGTCAGGGACCACTTTCTCTCCCTTTGCCCCACCGAGCTGACTGTCGACTTGCTAGAGGAGCGCCTTGCTGAAGCTGAGAAGAGTATCTTAGCTGTAGGTGCTTCTCGCGGCGATCGACGCACCCCTTTCTTTGAGGGGTGTTCCCCTGTTCCCCTTCTCCCCTCTGTTGCTTCTGCTGTTGCTGTCGACCTCGTTGGCACTGAGGAGGTCGGAGCAGCGTCTGCCCCTAGTGGGAGACGCCGCAACAGCAAGGGCAAGGGGAGCAAGGGTGGTGGAGGGGGCGGCGGCGGAGGCGGTGGAGGAGCTGGAGGAGGCGGAGGGGGTGGCGGTGGTGGTGGGGGTGGCACCGGGAGTGGGGGCTTCAGTGGCGGCGGTGGAGGTGGTGGAGGCAGCGGCGGAGGTGGTGGAGGCAGCGGCAGCGGTGGTGGAGGCGGCGGCGGCGGTGGTGCTGGTCGAGGTGCAGCCGCGCAGCGTGGAGGCTTTGGTGGTAGCCAGCGCCAGCAGCAGCCGCGCTCCCGTGAGACCCCGTCGGCCCCGCAGCTTCGTGAGTGGTACGCTGGGCGTGGGAGGTCTGGAGGTGCTGGTCCCTGCGCTTACGTTCTTTGCACCGGCAGTCGTCGTGGGGAGACGTGTGGGCTGCCACACACTACGCAGCGCTGCTTCGGTCGCTTGACTGACGCCTGGCGTGCCCAGTTTCCTGTCGCTGTTGAGCTCCCTCGCTGGCATGATCTGCTTCTGCAGAATGTGCCTATCTTTGAGCTTGATTTCGATGCTATCCTTGCTGCCATGTATGCTTTTGCTGATAGTACCGAGGGTGACTGTTACCTGAGTGTCCCGCCCGACCCAAGCATTGCGGCTGCTGCTCTAGGTGCTAGTGCGTCTGCTGCTCCAGGTGCTAGTGCGTCTGCTCTCTCTCGTACTGCACCTACTGAGTCCTTGCACACTTTCACACTTGACTCTGGTGCTTCGCGCTCTTTCTTTAGAGACAGCACCACACTCACGTCGCTCAATCGGCCTGTCGCAGTCTCCCTGGCTGACCCCTCTGGGGGCCTAGTCCTTGCACACTCTTCCACGGTTCTACCGTGTCCTGCGGCCCCGTCGGGCTTGCTGTCGGGACTCCACCTCCCCTCGTTCTC